AACCTGGCACTTTGAAAGTAAAACCATACAAAAAAGGTTTCTTAAGCTTCCTTCCCTTTATTCCTTCTGTATGCTAGCAGTTTTATTATCTAATGCAGGTTTCATGCTTTCAAGCAGTTAAATTTAATAGAAGGCAGGGTGCGGTGTCCAAAAAAGTTGCATCTTTGGCTACAGAATTTCCAGTTGCGAGATTACATGGTACCACTAGCGCAGACCTCAACGACATGTGGGAGAGAAAATGTTGTGCCATGAAAAAACAAGGCGACTCACAATCTCCTCCACCATATGAGAAGGTTTTATTTATTGATAGTTTATTGTACCTTCTTTTGTATGTCTGAATTGTTTCATTGTGTGAAGCTTCTGTTTGCAGCTCCGGGAATCACTTCTTCATGGGGAGAACAACGATTATGATGGTTTGGATAGTCCAAAGGAAAAGAATGAAAATGATGACTATGATAGTGCAGATCACGATTTTGGGCCTTCTGCCTTTGACATGCCAGAAAATGCTGACATGAACACCGATGCAACTCCTTATGGTGAAAAGGTTAGTAAACTAGATATGGATGTTTTCCCTTACATTACTGATTATGTTTCTCTGAAGCTGGTTCAATCTGGCTTGGGCGAGTTACACTGCTAATATATTTTGTTTTTGCAGCACGATAAATGTAGTCCATTTTTTGACAGTGAAGCTCATGAAGATTCGAATGCTCATGCCAACCTTGAAGATCTTTGTCGCTCCCACTTGGTAAGAATATAAATCATAATCTTCATTATTCATACATTTATGGATTTTGGTATGTGTCGCGGATATTTTCTTCATGCTCATGAACTGGCACTGGCCTTTTCTTCTTTCCTAAATGGCATTAGAAGGGGTTTCACTAATGTGGACTCTCAACAAACTTATCTGTTGCTTAGATTTTGTTAGTCTTCCATGATTGGTTTAGTGACCTTTTTTCTATTTGTAGGATTCTCTTCTTGCTAGCCTTGCTGAAACTGAAAAGCAGAGTGAATTGGCTGCACGGGTTTCAACGTGGAAACAGAGAATTGAGCAGAACTTGGAGGAACAAGTTTGTTTGCAATTTCTAATATCTCCTCTCTTTTGTTTACTTTTGAAACCTGTCAAGTTTAGATTTTTTATCGCGCTAGTGTTTACCCACAGGAATCACATCCCCCCTTTGACATTCATGAATATGGGGCTAGGGTTTTGTGCAAGTTATCCCTGGAAGAAAATGGTCAAAGCACCAAGTCTTTTTCTGATGTTGTCACGGGTCAAGAGAAGCATGATATTGCTCGAACATTTTCTGCGCTTCTGCAATTGGTAAAACCCTTTCTACATGAGTTTTAGTGACATTTATGTTACCTACCTTGGAAGATAGAAGTACTATAATTCTTAATTTGCCGTTGAAATTTTATCTACGAGTAAGCAGTATTCGCCTCTCTGTTTCCCTTTGTTAAAACAATAGGTAAACAACGGAGATGTTGGTTTGGAAAGAGGTGGAATACGTGAGTCCACTTGTTACACAGCTGCAAATCCCTTCTATGTCCGGCTCCTTAGGAATGATAATGGTAGGGAGAAAATGCAGATTCGGTCATCAAGAAAGAGAGCAAAATCTCCAATACCCAATCAGGGCTTTAGAAAGGAAAAAAACAAAGGTAAAGAAGTTCAGGCTGCTTTCAGTTCATCACCTTCAGAACCCAACTCAGGTTACCGATTTGCCCTGAAGCTGGGAAAGGTTAATGGAACTCGTTGTACGCCTGAAGGTAAGAAAAGAAGGAAATCCAGATTAGTCGTACCACCAGATATACATACTGCATTGTGATATACATTTTGCTCTAGTTTTCAAGTAAGCCTCTCCTCTCTCGCTATTCGGTCTCACTGTGCCCGTTGTATGTGAGAGACTCAAGGCAGTAATTCTGTTTGAGTGTAGTAAGACAGAAGATTAACCCCACCATGACCACTGTAATTCTTATCACAAACCAACAACCTGTTGGCTGCAGAAATTTGTAAGATGTGTTTATTCTTAACTTAATTAGGACTTACTTGTAGTACTTAGCAAGGAGGATGTAACAATATTTTGACATATGCAGAGCTTACTCTTCATTAGTCTCTCTACAGACAAACATGTTAATAAATGACTGCCCTTAATGTTTCAAGTGTATATATTTGCTTGTTGAGCTACTACATGTATAATATGTATGTTGTGTGTATTCAAGACTTCAACATGGGACGCATGTGATAGTTTTTCAAGACCGTCTAAAAATGGTTTTGGGCTTGACATTGTTTAACTGTCTTTGAACTACTACTCATTATAAAGTTTACTTTTGCTTAAAATTTAACCCTTGATTTTGAAGCGAATGTGACGTTTACTACTATTTCGTTTGGTGTTGGAAACATCAAACAAGTAAGTTGGTAGGGATAAGGTCTGTATCGTCCCCAGACCCCATCCGTGGCAGTATACTGGATTTGTCGATGTTTGAAAATTTTACGTAAGAGAAGATTGACCATATTTGTAATCTAATCAACCAAATTTGTTTTTTTTCTTCAGTGAATACTCCAGCAGAACCAGATTCCAAATAAAGACAAACTAAAAATATGTTAGTATGATGATAGGATTCATTTCCCCTACGTATTATGTTTATTGCCGAAATAAAGTTGACGTCATGCAATTGTTAGTGGTCACAAGGCTCCAAAGCAGTAAGCGGTGAGGAGTGATGATGTTATTCGTATTGCTATTGCTGTTAGGACTGTCTTGTGGGTCGGGTTGGCCCGAAACTGGACTGAACTAATTCGAGACCGAGCTGAGACTGGACCGACCCAGGAATGTTAAAGGGGAGGGGCGCTTAGGCATGGGTCGGTCCTAATGGATCGGCTCGAATAGTTCAATCCTGACTTAGGATGAAAGGGAAGTCAGACGAACTGGTGCAATTGCTTAACACATGTAAGTTGGAGGAGAAGTGGCGTTTTCAATGGTGGACGATAACACATAAGAACCTATCCTTGGAAGGGAAACAATTGCTAATACCCCATAAGCTGAGGAGCAAAAGGAGGAATCCGCCTGAAGAGGGACTCGTGTCTAATTAGCTAGTTGGTAAGGCAATAACTTACCGACCCACTAGAGGACACTTGCAGGCGGGAGAAATTCAAAAATAGTCAGATTTATAAGTGGTCATTCAAAAATAGCCACAATTTCAAAAGTAATCGAAATTTAGTCACTTTTCATGTAACGATAAATCTGAACGAAAACACTGTTCAAAATCCGAAAAATACTCCAGTATATTATACTGGAGTTCCAGCACTTGAACTCCATCATATTATACTCAGGAGCGGCCCAACCTCATCGGAGGCCTAAAGCAAAATCTTAATAAGAGGCCTTAATATATATATATATATA